AGAGGGCAAACAGCAAAGATAACTGCATATAAACTAGACGGGAATGATTAAGGTTTGTTTCAAGATGGGTTTACTATCAAAATTCACACAAATTGATCTGTTTTATCAAATCCCGAAATCCCGGGATTTTCAAAACTTTTAAATCCCGGGATTGGGATCAGAACTGGAATTCCGGGATCCCGTGGAAACCCTAGTTGCCACACGTTTCCTTGTAAAGCCCACCCGTCTGTAGAAAACCGATCAAATTTTCACTGGAAATCATTTATTCATTAAGATGTCAAATTTTTGATAAGAATCACCAAACTGAGAGCGTTAACATTTGAAGAAACAATGCGAATGAAGCATTCTAGGAATGTTTATTACTTGGATTATTATTGATCAGTTCTGTCCTGGAACTGGAATGTGAATATTCGGAATAAGATATGGGTAATCGTGCAGTTTAGGTCAAGGAGAAAGGGATGTAGTCTATAACACACACACACACACAGAACATGCGTCAGCCATGGAGATATTGTACTACAGCTATTTCCTCATAATAACAACTGATTTCTCGAACGAGTAAGGAGCTAATGAGTAAGGAGCTTTCCTAAGCAACCCGGACCTTGTCAGCCTTTGTCATCCGACATTAAAACGGAACAGCGACACCAAAATGTCTCGGTAATGAAAAACCTAAGAAGAGGATATCATACGCTTACAGGAATTCAGCTGTTGTTTAAAATGACTCGATTATTCAATAATTGTTCAAGTGATAATAATTTAAGTTGTCAGTTGAATGCATCAAGCGCTATATGTGTGCAATTTACGACTTTCTTGTCGGTTACAATATGGCCGAATTGCTTTGTCGCTCTTAATCCTTTCCTGTATTGCGATAAATCAATAATCATATTCCCTGAACGTATCAACTGTTTATTAATTCGGATGATTGGTTTGCTGTTAAACCACTCGATGCGAGTGCACATAAAGGCAACTCTACTTGCGTAGAAAATGAACTTAAAAATTGTCTTTTCGTTATATTAATGAAGTTGTTTTAATTTTTTTCTTTGGAATAAACGGACAATTCGAAAGATCCGAAAAATTTTACTCCTTTGTTCTTGCATTGTGTTAATGCAGAATATACTGAAGTAGTGGTGGCTGTATCGATTAAAATTACGCTGTCAGACGACGGTAATTGGAAGAATATTTCCTAATTCACTTTGTACCTCTATTGCGTGTTTGCAAAAAATTTCAATAGCAAAAATTTATTAATACATTTCAAATTATATATAGAGATCAAGCAATAACAAAATATACATAAAATGAGTTGAATTTTCTCTTCAGAATATAAATTAAACTCAATGAAACAAAATAAAGCATGAAATTTTAAAAAATTGAACTGCAATAACTGCTTGAGTTTCTCCTCTGAATTCGACGTTTTATACACGGACCTATCGGGAATTTACCACTCTGAATGCAACATTCTTAATGGAAATGGACTGATGTTCTTTAGCAGAGCGATCATTTTTGGGAAAAAATGAACACATGGCAGCACAACTATCATGAAAATATGAAAAGTTGGACAAAGGAATGAGGATCCGAATACGTAAAACTAAATACGAACAACGAAATTACATGATATACAAAAATGAAAGTAGCTTGAAGCTATACAGTAACAATAACAATAATAGTGATAAAAATAACAATACTAATAATTGTAATAATAATAATAATAACAATTATAGTAACAAGAACTCGGTTTCGGATATAACAACAAATTTGAATCATTTCGCAAATCATCAGTTTTGAACTATTTCAACAGAAACAATAAAACGGATATAATCACAAAATAACTCATCCATCAACAATTAATCTCGCAATTCACTACCACCCTATGGTTATACGCTTCGCGGAAGCATTTTGAATTCATATTTTTAATATCAGTTCGGCTAAAATGCAGAACGAAAGGGCAGAAAGACTGTTGCAGGAAAACAAAAGTAACTATTTTTTGCGTTTGAAGAGATGATGAACTTCTTTGGTGGTTGGATAACAAATGAATTCTCTTTTTCTTTAAAAAGATTTGAAAATATCAACATTGAGTAAAATAATAACTAAAAATTAAAACAACCAACAAACGAATACATTTATAATTATTATTTAATGATTTAACAAAGAGTCGGTGTATCAGATACAC